TCTATGCATGGTTTTTATTCTAGCTGAGCCATCAGTTAATGAATTTAAGTGATTTATTTATTCATTCTTTTGGGATGTTAATAGTTGGTCATCATTTCCAGACACCTACAAGATTTTATCACTACCTTGACACCTTTACTTTTTAGGACCCAAAAACTAGAAGAGAAAACCCAAGAACCCTTATGAGGTTTCATTTCAGTTATAGCTCAAGCTGAAGTGTAATACAGAAAGGCAGTGGGGTCCTGAGGAGCAGATTTGGGCATCCCTGCTGTAGATGTACATGTTCAGGGGTAACCACAGGCTGGGAAGTAATAGTGACATGCGACACTATTTTCCAATTGAAATCTGGAATCATGCTCTCTTTCCAATTATGCCCTGGGAAAACAGTCAGGTCAATGATGCTTACTGATGCCTGGACCTACACTATCCGGTTAAAATAACTGAACCTTTTTTAGTTTTGAACAGAGATCTGTATTCAAATTCACCGAAGGCTCTGACAAAGTCAGTCCAGAAACAACAGTGAAAGAGGGAAAGAGGAACCAGAGGTTAGAATGTGGAAGCGCATTTAAAGGGGTTTGAAAACAGGAACAGGGTGCGCTTCTGTGTGCAAATAGCTGTGGGAGTTTTGAACAAGCTACCCAGCAGTGCCGACTGGATCAGGTCCTTGGATCAATTAGCTACTAACTACAGATTACCTCGATGGGCTAAATGACCTCCTTTCATTCGTAGATTTTCTTACAATTTTAAGACGTGTCAGAGCTGGAAAGAGTATTTCTGTCAGTGTTTTTAGATTACATTAATCTTATCAAATCTAGTATCTGTATCCACCTTTCTGTAATTGTTTTTAAGAAACGGGACAACCATACCCAAAACAGGAGAAGCCTTTAATACTTGGCCGGGGCTGCATCAGGCTCAGTCTGCGCTCTGCCTAGGATGTCTCATCAGTGGCTTCTGCCATTATAAAAGGCTCACTGGCTTCGTTGAAGAAGCAGCCCAGGACCGGGCGGAGTGCGACTGCGCATGTGAGGGAGTGCGAGGGGCTTCACGTGGGTGGAGAGCAGGGGGCCATGGGGAGGGGGAAGTCAGGGTGGGGCTTCTGGCTTTGTGCTTGTGACAGACCTGCTGACTGTGCCATCGAGAGAGAGAGAGAGTTTCAGCAGCCCTCAGCCCAGCATCTGTCCTCCGCCCACTTACTCCTCTCCTCCCTGTACCGGGACTCAATCACAAACATTCCCGTGCCAGACCTTTTCTGTCGCCGCTCCAGTGTTATGGAATGCCCTTCCTTGGACTCTACGAGACAAAGACTTTGACTCTCTTCCAATCCAAACTCAAAACGCACTTTGTGTTTTACTTGTTTTCCCCCCATTCTGTATCAACATGTATGCTCGTTTTTCCTTTTTTTTTCTAAAGCTCACTTTTATTAGCCCTACACAATTTCTTGTATTAGGAATTTGTCTTATCGCAGACCCCAGCTTGCTCTCCATGAGACACACAGACGGGGAGAGAAGCTTGGGGTCAGAGTGCAGGATCAGCCATTTATACGGCGCCCCTGGAGCAGTTGGGGTTGAGGGGCCTCGCTCAGGGGCCCAATGGAGCAGGATTCCTCTGTGGGCCACGGGATACGAACCAGCAACCTTCCAGCCACAGGTGCAGGTCCTTAGCCACAGAGCCACCGCACCGCCCCAGTTTTACCACTATGTACATCGTGCTTGGAAAGGTGCTTTATAAATATAACCTATTACTATCACTCCTTTCACCCCAGACTCGCGGCCCAAAAAGAAACAAGAGCATGAGAACAGTTGCATACGACAAGGATGATGTCTGGCAGGCACGCCGTACCTGTGGGGAGTTAGTAACACATTGATCCAGCCGTTTCTCACAGGAATCCAGGGCATCAGCTTCAACCACATGGCTGAGCGGCCCGTCCCAGACTCCCGCCACTCTCTGTGTCAGGAAAGTGTCTCCTGCCCCCACATTTAAGTGCACGTCCTCTCAGTTTGCACTGCGAACCCTGTTCTCCTGTTCCACTGCTGGATCCGAAGCTTGAGGATTGTGATCACCAGCGCCTGGTGGCTCTTTGTTAGGCTGATTTCAGGGCAGCATATTTTTTTTTTAACATCACGACAATAATTGGACACATTTTTGCTTTATTGCATCTTACAGTTTAAACAACATCACTTGATTACAATTCTGCGTTTCAACTGCGTTTTTATATGCGCACATTCTGTTGGTGCTTTTTCTTGCTGTCCCACGTCGTCAAGATGGTGAAAATGATGTCTTTTGAAGGCATTCCTCAGTGCTTAGTGCCCCCGTCTTACATTAATAGTTTATGCATCTGCTGCCTCCAAACTCTTGTTGTGACTGTTTTTTCCTGGTTAGTCTCTTTCACTAGAAAGCCTCCACACACCTGGAAACCTTGAACACACAAAGCTTCTTATAACAGATTTGGTTGTTTTAATGTGTGTATGGTGCCATGTTCTTCAACAGCACAGCTCATCTCCCGACAGGCAGGCTAGGCTGATAATGATCACGCCGCTCTGCTTGCTCCTAAACGGGCCATTAGTTCTCCTCATTCAGCAAGGGCGTTTTATTTATTCTGATACACTGAAAGTCCATAAGCAGGTTTTGTGATTTTTAGCATAAAAAAAACATGTCACGATCTCCTCTGTAAATTGACAACAGCTTTTGCAGTGTGCACGGGGTGCCGGATTTAATGTTATCTTAGTCGCAAAATGCCTTAAAAACTATCGGTCCCATCCTATCCAAGTACATTGTCTCCAATTCCGTCTTCTTTTATTTCTTTGGGTAATAAAAATATTATTAGAAACTTTTTTTTCTTGCTGATCGAGACCAGGTTAATCTCCGGTCCACAGGACATTCAAGCGATTTAAGGTATTCTTTTAGCTCAGGGTGTTTTTCCTGTTTTATACCTGTTAACTGTACCTTCACAGGATTTCATTCAGCAAAATCTCACAGCACCACTGTGGCCCCGCCCCCCGTTTGAATGGTATAGTCCAATAACAGGCTGGAGTACTGGAGACACCCCTCCTGACACACCCAGGTGGTCACACCCACTCCTAAGACGCAAGACTAAGCTTCAAACCAAAACTCCTTTCGCGCTACAAGTCACTGATCTAAATAAATATTTTCAATTTTAAGCACCCCCCCCCCCCGCTCCCTATTTATTTCCTTCAATACTCTCGCAGGGCTCTGTCTTTTTTTTTTTACAACTACCTCAATGAATCCTAACTGTTGTCCTACTTCACTAATGTAAACCATACGTTCTCTGCTGGGCTAGACTTGATAGACCCCCTTCACCTGTGAAGCCGCTGTATTGCCAGTTCTCTTCGAATAAAATAACCCGGCAGAAAAATAAACGGCTTAGAATATTTTAAATTTCCCACATGACAGAGGGCAAGAGGTTTATCTCTTTAAGAATCCCCTCTCTTTTACTCTTTGTTTACATAACAGCAGGGACCAACCTCGCACCAAGAGTCAAGAATGTGGAGAACTAGAGGGGGGGGGGTAAGGCAAAAGAAAACCCCTTATTGCGTTGCGTATAACTAATAACGGAGAAAAGACGTATAATTATGAGAAATAATGCTGCTTTAAATATAAAACACTCTATACGAAGGCGCGTTTTGGGGAAACGTCATTGTTCAAATGAAAGCCTGCTCACGCTTTCTCCCCCTCCGTGAGCAAGGTGTGGTCGATGGTACATCCCGCCCCTGCTCTGGGCTGTTTTTGTGTCGCTGTTTCAGAGCCCATCCAGCGGCCAAGTGGAGAAGTACGCGGTGTAGTGGAGGCACTTCAAAACAAAAGTTTCTCCCTCGTTTTAGACGTTAAGCAGACGGGAGCAGAGCCGGCCGACTCACCGGAGAAACACCTCTCGGCGGACGCGGCGGCAGCTACACGTGACAGATGGCTCTAACCCACTCGTTGTGAAGGGTTTCCCTGCTCTCTCTGTGTGTGTATGTGTTTCCCCCCCCCAGCGGTGAGGACGACTGGTTTTTGTGAGCTGCGTAGTTTGCAAAAGCCTGATGTTTTCGCCGAACCAGGAGGAGAACTGCGCCCCCATTAAGGAACCGGTGAAGTACGGGGAGCTCGTCGTGCTGGGGTGAGTGGGGAAAAGACGGTTACAAGGTGGGGGATCCGTCGGCTTGCGGTGCTCCCGAACTTGGGAGAGGATACGTGCCGTACACATCACTCACTTGTACAGGACTCTTCCGCGCTGCAAGGACACAAACTCGGACCTGTTCGCGCATCCTAGCCACGTACCTGTCATCGCTGACAGGGCGCCTCTCGTCGCGACGTCTTCCCCCGGAGGTTAGTTGTCTGTTTTCGGGCAGTTCGAGGCAGAACAGTTGCCGGAGAAGAAAACAATCGCCTAGCGCGACCGACACGGGCGTCCCCCGTTCAGCCCTAAAAGCCATCTGGAGCGGCTGTCCGGGCGGCGAGCGAGGGGGGGGGGGGCTCTTCTTTGGCATGTTCGGCCGCGAATAAAACAAACAAAAAAACCCCCAACAAACAGAAAAACAAAGAAACCGTTACCGGTTCAGTAAGCGGCTGGCGCTTTTGATTTCCTCGGTGGGTTAAACGAGGGGAGGGGGAGGAAACGCGGTTGGGGAATGTCCTCTGGAAATGTGCTCCCCACCGCACATTCCCGGGAATCGGGCAAGTCCCAGTTCGTGGGCGATCCGTTTGGAGCGGCAGGCGAGGCGTGCAGAAGTCGAGGATATTTTTTCTTTTTAGAGAGGCGCACACGTCGCGGTCCCAGATATTTCCGAAGCTGTTGGGCTGGTTGCGTGCGGATCGGGTCTTTCGCGGCGTGGATGTAGGTTACAGTAGTTGGTGAGGGGGGGAGGGGTTGGGAAAAGTCTTAGCGACTGTACTAATCGCGGGATTTCTTTTCGTGAGCTACCTCGCTTGACCGTGTTTCTCTCCTCCCCTCCTCCCCAACCCGCTTTCCAGCGGTGGGTTATTGTGCCACGCCGTGTGCTTTCGAGCCCTCGCAGCCGGGATGTTAGTTTGCGAAGTGACCAAGTTCGCTATCCCTAACGTGGTGATGTGGAGGAATAGGCATCTCCCACATGAGGCGTCCCACATGATCGAGCTACCGCTGGGCCAGATTGGAGCAGCTCAGTTGAATCGAAAGTTCATGCCCTGTGGCCCTTATTCGATGTGTTAACCCCCCCCCGCCCTTATCGCATCGCTTTCGCGGTTATGTTGAAGTAGCACTTGGTATGAGGTGTGAACGCGGTGCCCTGGATACAAACGGCTGCAGATGAGCGGTGCAAAAAAGGCCACCGACCCCCCCCATTACGACGCGTCCGGTGGTTCAGTGAGCTCAGGTCTAGCCGATGTGGAGGAGTTTGCGGGCCGGCCTCGATCCCTGGCGGGCTGAGGGTGCTGTGCAGGTCGGCGGCGACCGCACGGGCCGGGAGAAGAGCGGTCACGTGGAGCAGGCTCCCTCCAGAGCGAGCCGAGGTGATTCATACATGATAATTATCGCCAGATTATGCAAGCCCTAGGATGTTCCCGAAGAGCGCTAATGTGCTTCCTTTCCCGGGGATTAACATTTTCGGGGGATTTGATGCGAGTTTTAATTTTAGCACCAACCACCCTTCCTCCCTCTCTCCCCCTAACGAGACTAGGAAATGATTAGTCGTTCATTCCCACGCCGCGGTCCCGTCCGGCACCCAGACAGTTCGAAGTTGGCTCCTGTCGGTGTGCCACCAGCGGGATGTATTACTCATCTCTTTTCACGGTGTCTGTCTCCTCTTAATACAACTAGACAGAGCCGTGTGCGCTTGTTTTGTCTGTTCCCTGTCTTGTTATCCTAGAAATCAGGAAGCGCGGTTCTCTTCTATTTTTAGTGCACTCGGTACTCGGGAGTATGATTATCGGAGTCACTTTTAATGAGAGCGGGTAGACCAGCCTCACTGAAAACAGACAGCGGGGGGTTAGTTGTGAAGCCTGGTTTCTGAGACAGCCGGCTTTGCTCCTTGTCGTCTGACGAATCTAGTGCTCTCGCCTTAGATCGGCTGTTCTTTACCACAAGGGCATCACGCCTGATTTAAGATCTCTCGCAGAGAACTTCTTTTACGAGCTGGGGTGACCTCATTAACACATCAATGGGTAATAAACGATCATGTAAAGGAGTCCCACTTCTGCTGGGACAGTAATCTGCTAACGTGTTAAGATAACCTTTTGGTGAAGACGTGTCTCGGCTTGCGCAGAGTTTGTGATTGACCCACAACTCTTGTTAAGTGCCTGCTTTCCAGTTTTGACCTATTGAATTTAATTATCTGGGATGTATATTTTGGACCCATGAATTCCTATTGAAACTGGGCCTTTCAGTTTTAAAAAGATGATTTAATGTGATAATGTACATGAAGTGTGTCTTATCTGTGTGTGTGGTAGGAGTGTTAAAATTTCTTTAAATAAACCTGGAAATATGCTCACTCTGTCTACTCATAATGAACTTTCAGAATGAGTACAAGCTAAAACAAGAGCACTCTGCTAGATTAATCTAACTTTTGACCTATTTTGACTGTATTCATAAGGGGAGCCCAGTTTGTAAAATTGCTTGGCTTTCCATAGTGCCTGAAAACGTAAAACCCAAACTAAACCTTATGCAATTGGGTTTTTTAAAAAGGAAGTTCACAAGCACCGTGTACTCATGGGTTTGAAATGAAAGATTTAGTAGGGAATGCAATAATGCATTCAACAGTTTTGATAGCGTTGAATGCCTCATGAACCTAGTACAGGGGGCATGGGTTAAAAGCACTTGAATTCAGCTGATCTTAAAATATTTAGATGTTAGCTTGAAATGTGTTCCTGTTTTTGTTGAAGACCTCTTATCTTGACGCACTCGTACTGGCAAGCTAAACTAACAAAAACCTGTTGGAAGCGTGAGAGCTACACCCCTTTGCTCAACACAGTCATTTTGTCTTTAGATTATGTTGTTGCCTTTCCACTGGTCTGACTTGAGTGAACCAGATGTCTGCTGAACTGCTGGGTGGAACTGATAAACAGGCGCTCGTGTTGCAGCAGGAAGGATTGGGCGTGACACTCTGGTGGCCAGGGTTTCTTTAGACATCTCGTTATGAGGAAGTGATGAGAACTGTGATTGGTTGCGGTCCCCAGATGATATATCCCATTTATATGTAAATTGAAGATATAATTTCTGTTGGCAAGTATCCCACTCATTACAGTGATCACAAGAGCAGTAGAATTTACCATGTGCCCTTCCAGTGCAGTCGCATTGCTATGGGAATTGGTGGGCTCCGGAGATAGTACTTGGACCCAGGTCTCAAAGATCAAATCTAGTGCTTCATATTTTCTAGATTAAGTCTGTTATCTCCATCATTTGTCTCAAGCATTTACCAAACATCATGTTAAGGAAGGAGAGTACATGAGATTTAACTGCCCTTTCAGCACTTGGGTCTCGCTTTTCTGCATGTTCTCCCACA